TTTGGATTTAAGCTGAAAAAATTGTATAATTAAAAAAAATGTTATAATTAAAAAAATCTAATATTTCATCGAACTAATAAGAAAAATCTGATAGAAGATTAATAATATTATATAGAAAAGATATAAGAGTGATAATCTTAACAACGAAGAAATATCTATTTTCATCTCGTCAAGCTAACACCTTCCTGCAAGTTCGCAACAAATAAACTTTTGGTCCTTAAATCTTTTCTTTTTCTTTTTCTTTCTATCTCTCTTTATTTTTTTCCTTCTCTCTTTTTACCTGATCCTAAGATTGAAATTTTCTGTAATCATGTGATCATTCAATGATTATCTCTCTTTCTTTGTTTCTCTCTTCTTACCTGTCCCTAAGATTGAAATTTTCTGTAATCATGTAATGACCTCTCTTTCTCTCTCTCTCTCTCTCTTTCTTGTTCTACTACTTACTAATATAATATATTAAACATAATATGATAAAAGAGAAGAATATGCTAAATAGTATATTTTAATATGCTAATATAAAATATGGTAAAAAAATAATGATAATAATAATTCTATAAAAATCGAATGTTTTACTTAAACTCAAGAAATCTCATTAAACTTAACAAATCTTATAATGCAATTTCTTTTTTTCTTTTTTTTCCTTATCTTTTCGAAATAACACGATTAATAATATTAAATCGAAAAGATGAGAAGGATAATCATAATAACGAAGAAATATATCTATAATATACATATGTATATAACATTTTCATATCATCATGCAACCAATCCGTAAGTTTGCAGCAAACAAGGAAACAACCTCGTGGTCTCCTCGAAGCTTTTCTCTTTCTCTTCTATTTATCTCTCTTCCTGTCTGTCTCTTTCTCAGTAGAAGCTCAGTAGTGACTCGGCTCTACAGTTAAAACCTCGTCGACGACTTCTTTAGCCGGACTGTGAAGCACTTGGAAAAGTTCAATCCGGAGTGCTGCTGGTGACACTCTCCATCGAGTTAACGGGCGTGCTCGAAGCGAGCTCTTGTATTACTTTGCATCGCCGGTAAACGCTCGAGCTTCTGCCCCTCTGTTTCTCTACGTATACATAACGCACACGCACTAACACGTGAATACACACACTTTTATCTATGCATACAAAACTTATTCTCTCTCCTTCTCTTTCTCTTTTTCTTTCTTCCTCTTTACTTCTCTGTCTTATCGCAAGCAACGACGTTACGTCACACTATTTGATTTTTTCGTTTACGTTCATGCCTGCTCTTTTGTCAGAGAAACTCAAAGAGCCTTCTTTAACGATTCGATCACTCATTTTCGTTTTGATTTTCTCAAAGATATTATGTTTTAAATATCTATTTATACTACGTTGGCTAACAAGTAATTTACCAATAATACGATAATATAATAATTATATGATAATAATAATAATAATATAAAATGTAATTACATTCTATGATACTGTTGATTTATAGAATACAAGGTTTACGTAGTGAAAGATAATAATATCACCTGTCTACTATCACCTATCTCTTTATCGCCAATAGTCGCCAAATTTTACCACTTGTCGTTGAATGTCGCCAAATGTTGTCAAATGTGGCTAATGTCGCCGGACGTTACCACTTGTTGTTACTTGTCGCCACTTATTACCACTTGCCGGCGAATGTCGTTACTTGTCGCCACTTTTCGCCGATTGTCTTCACTTGTCGCCGTTTGTCGCCGATTGTCACCATTTGTCGCCGATTGTCGCCGATTGTCGCCGTTTATCATCGATTGTCATTGAATGTTGCCGATTGCCATCGAATATCAGAGATTGGCGGCCATACGATTGGTAATCCCCACGTTCACCATCATTAGCTGTGCACCAGGTTTTTGGGATCAGACCAAGGATTTAACATATTAAATACTGTTTCTTCTTTTCGTGAAAAATAAATTTCATATAATGGCATCTCTTGAAATCTGCAGTGAAAGACACGAGTTTACCACTTCCAATACTAATTTTCATATACACTTAATATATTATATATTATATATTATATATTACATTAATAAAAATCAAACATGAGTTCATTCTCGCACTATCTTTAGAACTGCTAGCGCTATTTTTTTCTTCTATAGGATTAATTCACTTTATATTATAACTAATACTATCACTACTAATATAATAATAATAATAATAATAATAATAATAATAATAATAAAAGAAGTAGAAGAAATACATATTTAAATATTATATACATTATATATGATGCCAGTGAATTACAATAAAAAAAAAAAAAGAAAGAATACATTTAAACGAACAAAGTATAATCTAGCCAATCTATATTCACTAGTGACTCTCAAAAATCTACCTTCGCTTTCGAATACATTCCATGTTTTCATATGCGAACTCATTTTATTTTAGAAACATGGAATAAAAGTCTTAGCTAATACCGATTTTTCAAAGACTTATTAAATTTCCCAAAAATAATGTTCAGATGAAATATTTCTGAATATTTGTTTTGCTTTGCCTTGCCTTGATATAATGAACCTGGTATAACTTACACAAACTTATACACTGATTTAATAGGCGCATAATGAAGATAATGTCCTCTTGTTGCACTTATAGTTTATAGTTTGTTCATACCTGTCGTTAAAATTACACACGCTACGAACGAACAGCCTTAAGATTCATGCCTACATTCAAATTCTTAATCATTAAGCATAAGCTACAATTAATACCAAAGTTTATCCTTTCACTAAGAAATTTTATGCTAAAACTAACATTCACCATTTCCATACTAACATTCATATTCATGTTATCATTCACATTTAATCTATTCTTTGTTGGTGCTCTTCATCAAGGGCGTTACCATTCGGATCATTAGAACTAAGGTTCCCAGCACGTCAAGGTGGTAAACTATTGGAAAGGGGGTCACACGGCCCCCCCCTATTAATCGATCCGTTCCCCCACTACTTATTTAAGTTTACTTGCCACCACTCCAACAGACTACCCATAAATAGACAGAAACTAAAGCCAAGCAGCTCACAAGGCATGGTGATGTCAAATAGTGGGGATCATCTTCTCCCACTTTATTGGAAAAGGCGGTGCGGGCTACATGTGTCCTGTTGGCCGCCTATTATTCACCTTTGATTTTTATTTTATCTGGTTATTTAATTCCCTGGATTTTCCTAAAATCAACATCTAACTAAATCACTTGCTCGCACCCTACAACGATAAATTTCATTTCCATTTCATTTCCATTACAATATTAAACATATATGTATAATATACAAACATATATTTAAATATATATACAATTATAATATTATTATTATATTTTGTGTTATAATACTATAGTAGTATCCTTCATATGTTTATCATATTTTGTTAGATGTCACGAAATTTCACGAAGATTCAAAGATTCGTAAAGTTTGAGATTATATGTGATGAAAGGTCACGTGTAAGTAATCATACGGGAAAGTACGCAGGGCAAGAAAAGAGAAAAGATTTAACCAATACGTTTGGGAAAAAGGAAAGCTGGCTAAATTCGTGTTAGGATAAAGCACGGAAACAGCTGTTTAAGCTTATCCAGTTCACCTGTTCCATTCAATACCCAGTTTCGTCCTTGCCACACAATCTGCCCTACGATATATATTTTTATGCCGAAGAATGTACCTCCTGTTGACACGTTGAATAATATACCAAGTTATCTAGTTATCGTAGAATAAACAATAATTCTTTTATCCTTGATCATTGATCGAGGATACACAATTAAAATTGGGGGAAAAGAAAAGTAAAAATGTAATTATAAATTTCATTTATAATAATTATTTCTTTTTTAACGTTTTTTCTTTTCTTTTTTTTTTTTTTTTTTTTTTTTATGAAGGGATATTTATATATGACAAAAAGAAGATGGCGTCGTTATTATCTAAGAGAGTCTATTTAGTCATCGTGCAATGAACAATAACTCTCTTACGTAGCTCTCTTCTACTTTTACAAAGATAAGAAATTAAAATTGATTAAAAAAAAAAAGAAACAGAAAAGAATTCAAGATCAATTTATCTCATGTAACAATAAATGACTTTCACTTAGAAGAACGTCTAATGAACTCTGACGGTGTGTATATATACGCGTCAATAAAATAAATGAAATGTAATTGACATAAATTCAAATTTACGAATACCAAAAACGAACAATAATTTATATATTAACAAAAAGGAGGATGGTGTCGTCTCGCGCGGATAAACATACATATGAGATTTGATTTTCATCGTAAAATTGGATTTCTGTGTAGTAGAACGAGCCACGTTCGTTTAACATTTTATTTCCAAATGTCCAAAAGAACGCTGGGGAAAAAAAAGAGGGTCGAAACAGAAGAGATAGAAAACAGCTGAGACGCAGCTGGTTTGTGGCATCGCGACGACTCATGTCTTTCTGTGACGACGGGAGCGTCGCACTCCTGAATACACACGTATATATATATGTGTATGTGTGTAAAAGGAGTACACAGATGTGCTCAACACGCTGGATGTTGCTTTTTATACGATTGCTATTATCGGAAATAGAAAATAGAAATGGAATGGATTTCGAGAAACTATTTTCTTCTATTTAATTAATAATGAAAATAAAGAAAAAATTATTATTCTATTTTTAATTGAATATTATAATATTAAAATAATTTTTGTAAAATCTAATCAGATTTGATACACTATTTCATTATCGATAACAACAATTTCTGTATTTATCATTTTATCTATAATGTGTAATGTTTTATAATAACTCGATCGGTAACTTAAACTTTTACCATAATTCTATATTAACAACACAATCGGTAATGTCATAACTAATGTCGATAAAGATGACTTTTTGATGTTTCCTTGTTATGTTGCAAAATATAACGTAATTCTTTATTAATCTTATATTAAGTTATTAACGTAATTAAAATGAGAAATTGAATAACAATTGGATAAAATTTATTATATATTGCATTGTTTATTAATAAAATTAATATTGCATTGATAGGAGATTTTTATCGTTAAAGATACATATACATATTATTCTATTTCATATAATTGTAAAATTCCTCTTAATAAATAATAAACATATGAGAATTTATTTTACGAGGGAAAAAATTTTTGGCCCTAAAAGTTCGAAATATTTCAATTCATTTGGAGCTAGTGTATTTAGTAACTGCTTTGGTACCTTCGCTAACAGCATGTTTGGAGAGCTCACCAGGAAGTAATAATCGTACAGCAGTCTGTATTTCCCGAGATGTAATAGTCGAACGTTTATTATAGTGAGCCAATCTTGATGCTTCCGTAGCAATACGTTCAAAAACGTCATTAATGAAACTATTCATAATACTCATAGCTTTACTGGAAATTCCAGTATCTGGATGTACTTGTTTCAATACTTTGTAAATATAAATCGCATAACTTTCTTTCCTCTTTCTTTTTTTCTTCTTATCGGTCTTACTGATATTTTTTTGAGCCTTACCACTGGCTTTCTTTAAAGGTTTATCATTGATTTTTGGTGGAATATTAATTGGCGGCATAGTTGAAAATATTTTCTTCGTTGTAATCACAGACGTTATGTTACGCGAAAGGATTCAACTGAAATAAGGCATACAATCGTTGCGCGCTTTTTTATATATATCCAACAGTTCTAGTAACGAACCAATCAAAACGTAACATTCATTTGGCGCGATCCTATTGGTACTCTTTAAGGATAGGGGGATATAAATAACTGTGCTCAATTATTTTCCCATCACTTCTGATCTAACTCGAGTGCTCGAAGGTTGTATTTGTGTTTTATTTCTAAGAAGCTTAAAAATGTCTGGACGTGGAAAGGGCGGAAAAGTGAAAGGAAAAACAAAGTCTCGCTCGAATAGAGCTGGATTACAATTTCCAGTTGGTCGTATTCATCGATTGTTACGAAAAGGTAATTACGCTGAACGCGTCGGTGCTGGAGCACCAGTTTACTTGGCTGCCGTAATGGAGTATCTTGCTGCTGAAGTTTTGGAATTGGCTGGTAATGCCGCTCGTGATAACAAAAAAACCAGAATTATTCCAAGACATTTGCAATTGGCAATTCGTAATGACGAAGAATTGAATAAATTGTTATCTGGTGTGACGATCGCTCAAGGAGGAGTTTTACCAAATATCCAAGCTGTTTTATTGCCCAAAAAGACAGAGAAGAAAGCATAATTAATAATTGCCAAATGAGAACGATCATTTTCAAGGATACAATAATTAATGTTTCATGACTCACAAATATTTCTAAATACATGTACGAATAAAATGTTTTGATTGATTTATGAAATATTTTTGGCGGGACGTTCATATAAAAGGATAAAGAGGTTAAGTGCATTTAGAAAGTTAATATCAAAGGTTTACTTTAGAAATATTTACAAGAAAAAAATTAAATGGGACCAAATTTTAAAAGCATCAAATATTTCAAATCTAAAATGTTTAAACAAATATGTTATATTTATTCAAGATTTATGTGGCGTTGTCCCAACTTTAATCGTATTAAAAATAAAAAAAAGCAATATTATGGTACGTTAAAACATTATTAAATACACTGGAATGAAACATAATTTCTATCTAATTTATTTAAATAAGATCGAGTGACGAAATCGACATAAATAATTATAAGCGTATATATAATATATATATATATATAACTTCTATGATCTTCGCGTGAATATGATACACAAAGTGTAGATTTTCTATTTATGTATAATTTGTATGTGTTTTACTACTTGTAACCATACACAATCCATACATGTTACTTTGAAAATGATAAATGACTACTTTTCGCTATTTCATATTTGTCCATAGTAAATACTTATATGGCTACTCAATGACTATGTATAATATGTATATATGTATACGTGTAATGTAAAATAATATGCTTTTTTTTGTTTTGTTTTGTTTTGTTTTATAAAGTATAGTACTGTGAGAGAGTACGATTTACAAGAAATAAATTACATTACAATGCTACTGTTGCGTGATTCTAAATACTGGTCCGATCCTTAGGAAAAACCTACGAAGAACCGAACGTAATTCTGGCTTAAGATCAAAACACATGACTTCGCATAGCAGAGGATAGCAACTAGATGCATGTACCGCGAATCGGCTGTCACTCATTTTAAGAATCCTAGTTAAAAGTAAAAGGAGTATAGGTGTCCACGCATCGATGTGTGTCTCATTAGAAAGAGCAAGAAAATATTCTAATGCTTCACAGGCTACTTCGACAAGACGTGTTTCTACTTTAACCCAATCGTTTCTATGAGTCTCATCGCTATACATTTTAAAAAGAATACGAAGCGCACAAGCTAAAGATTGTATCTCCTGATTCAATAAACCTGTTTCGGATTTCATATTGCAATAAAAACCAGATTTCCAAAGAAGTTGGCGTTGTTCGTTATTGGAATTGAAAGTTTTCGCAAAACGATGAGATTTCAATAAACATTCGACCAATTGTAAAAGATGCGTAGTAGTTAACGCGCAATACATTCCTTGTTCTTCCTTCTGTTGATCTCCTCCACCTTGAACACCTAATTCGGAAGGTTTTCCATTGAGCATATCAGCCTGTGCTAAAGCAAGATTCTCTTGATCTTCTTTTCTTGATGTAGCTGGATAAAATACTACATTGTCTATAGTTTGAATCAATTCCAATTGTACCACACATTTGATTAATAAAGCCGAGAATAACTTGTACTTAGCATTTTCGTTATTCGGCGATGGTGGTTTCCAAGTAATTAAAGCTGTTGGTAATGTACTTTCGAATATATCAAGTACGCAACGACATGTATTATCCCAAGTTTCCTCGTCAAACTTAATTCCATTACTAATAACTAAATTCTCCAAACAGTTAGTACCCGATCTAGCAAGCTGTTCATTATCTTGTTGAACGCACCACAGCAATTGAGAATACAATTGACCCAATAAAAGTGGACCTAGTGTATCATAAAATTGAGAGAATACATCGACGATAGCATAAAGAGCGTGATTACATGTCGTTGTCATCCATTCGGCCTTCTGTAAGATTAAAATTATTAAAAAAAAAAAAAAAAAAAAAAAAAAAAAAAAAAAAGAAATTGCAATAAGTCGAAATAAAACATAATCGAGATTATCTGTACAAACCTCTGTATGCTGTTCTGGAAGTTTCATATTATCAAATATTCGAAAGAGAACTTGAAAGAGATCTTTCCACCAGTGTGGTTTAAATGATGCACCATGAGTTTTGACGACATCGAATAAAACAGTTAGTGCCCGTGTTCTCACATCCAATTTACATCTACTAACAACACATGATAGTTCGAAAAGCAATGGGAACCATCCTCTTACCTGATCATTAAAAAAGACAATATATATTGAAATCAATTTTAGAAATCTTAAATGAGATATATAAAATTATTATATTTTTATATACCCATGCTCTGTCTTCTTCCAAAACTATTCCACTATCATCCATCATACCCTCAGCAAATAGATTAGGATTAGCAACGATATAAGATGCACATGACCTCATAAGTCTAATCGCTTCCATGCTAGTGTCCGGAAAAGAAGCATTGCACGCAAATTCACTGAGGCACTTTACGGCATCTTGGAAGGAGTCGACCATAATACTGAAATCTTCAGCATAAAGCTCATCTATAATATAACAAAGATATAATTTGTATTAGAAAATAATATGGCAATATTAGAATGAACAATACAATAAATTAAAAAGAGAACTCACTTATTATTTTTCCTGTCATGGAGAAGGCTAATTCAACTACAGATTCATCACGATCACTGGCTGCATGATGGAAGACACTAAATATATTTTTCCATCCAGATCGTATATTTGGAGCTTGAGAATGAACGATTTGTGCTACACATCGAACAACCATATCTCTGATAACGGGAGATCTATTCTTCTTCATGATATGTTCGAATGGTCTAAGAAAATCTTTTTGGAATCTAAAATTAGCAAATTCGCCTTTCTCTATAAACTTAGTAGCTAACTGTCTTAAAGAATCCACTGCAAAAAATGCTATTTCTTGACGAGGACTGCAACCAACTCTGTCAAAATGATCTCCAAGAACTTGCCATATTCTAGACCATTGAAGCCTTATACGACCCATGTTATAATACGAAATTTCAACTATTTTTGTCAACGAAAACATTCGGGGTTGCGTAGGATGTGATAATTCTTCTAATGATACTTGACAAAGTGCTTTTACAAATGCGACTATAGCATCTCCGTCCAACCTTGTAGAACCAGTGAATATTCTATCAACAGCCACAACTACACTTTGAGAACTTGTCTCGCCTATGGATTCCTTCACGCTTGCTGTAATGAGAAAGAATATTTTTAATGAAAATTTTTATTTATTGCAAAAAAAAAAAAAAAAAAACGAATACTTACGATCTAGAGAACTTAAATTAAGGCCATTATTTTGATATGAATTATTATGTGCCAAATTAGTAAATAAAGGTGATGGAAAATGAGGCTTTGATGGAGGTCCCAGAAGTTGAGGTCTTACTCCTGTTCCAATAAGCTGAGCGAGTTCTAATTGTGAGATACATTTAACAACATCCAACCACGAACTACCAAGATAATTTCCATCGGTATGAGCAACGGTGATCAATGTTTTTATTGTATCGATGTTCTTCGCTTTCATTTCCGTAATTGGTGAATTTGCCGTTAGAAGTGTAAATCTAGCCAAAGCTTGAACGTATGCATCACGTTCCAACTAAATTGAACAATTAATATCAATTATTTATATTGGCGTTTAATTAATATATTTAAAATGTGTGTGGACACGAGTACTTACTGTCATATGGAAAATACAAGCTATACGAATCGCACATCTGATACCATCCAAACACAAAGATGCTATTTCAGGATCATCACAATCCTGCAAGCCAACGCTAAAAGCAGCTAAAAATGGTGTCCAGGCCATTTTAAACATAGGACGTACATGTTCTAAATGTTTAGCTGTTGTGAATGGTGCTTGAACGTGACTAACAGATTCCATTAAATTTTTTGCTGCAGTAGAAATTACTTCCATTTCCATATTCCATAATAATCTACGCTTTTTTTCACTTGAGATTACTGGTCGAATAAAATTATTATTATTATTATTATTATTTTATATACTTATATATATATATATGTATATATATTCAACGTTTATATGAATCAATATTATTTTACCTTGTTTCCCAGGACGATTAGGATTTGATTTCATTTTGATTTCGTTACCAGCTATTTCATCATAAATTTTGGATAAATATTCTTCTGGCAGATCTTCGTTATCACTAATGCGGCGATTTAATTTGATATATTGCTCTTTCGTCATTTTATTCTTTACTTGTGGAGAATGAAGATCGGTTGTAAGCATAATTATAGAAAAACCTAATATATAAGCAGTGTCTGCACTTGTAAATAATCCATTGCTAAAACATAAATATAGGAATATTATATATTATAAGAAATTGTAAAGACAATTTATTTATTACTTACTTTGGATTACATTCACAATATCTACTTGCGAATTTTTCCATTAAACGATCGATCTTTTGTGCTTCGCCAGGAAGTCTAAAACCCTCTAGGAAATATCTGAGAGCTGTAACTAAGTCACGATCCGCAAAATTCATTTGATCTATATAATTGTACATTACTTGATTGTGATTATGATCACCCAGAAAATCACCAATCGCAGTTTTATCAAGTCGTTCATCCATATGAAGCCATCTTGCAACATCTTCTGGGGATGTACCAAGAAGACCATGTTCTTGTAAATATTGCACTCCTTTGCTTGGTTTTCGGTTAAAACTAAATTTTGATTAAACAGTATTATTAAAAGTGTCATCATTTTCCTTCAGTGATATTAATATTAATTATTGTACTTACATGTCAATACCAGCTTCCCAGACTTCTTTTTGCTGTTTTTGTACTTCGTACTGTTCTGGTGAGTCTGGTATTTCCTTATTTCCTACGAGACTAGAGTTTGCAGAAGATAAACTACCAGCACTTCCATAACGTGGTAGAGGCGGTTCAAGAGGTGGATCGGGAGGTTCACTAGGCAATTGTTGATCCGCAGGTACACTTGGATTTACATATAAATCTCTACTCCATTCGACCATACATTTCAAAATTGAGACTAAACATTCAAGACCCCGAATACGCATAGACTTTTCTTGATTCGGAGATGCACCTAATTCCAAAGCTTGACGTCCTTGTGCAATTTTTGACAAGTCATTTACAAGTCTATGCGTCATAAATTAAAAATTATTTTTAATTTGAATACTTCGATAGTATTATGTATAAATAAGTTGATCTTTTACCTTTCAAATAAATTAGCTGCAGAAAGATCACAATCATAGTTTACATATATATCAACAACACTTTGAGCATCTGCACAAATACGAGTTAGAGCATGGATAACCATCCATTTATGTTCAAAGGAACTGCTAGATGTTTCAAGAATATTCATAAAAATTTCTTTGAAAAACACTTCTATTTGCATCTTTAAGTGCACTTTAAAGCGAGCTAAAAGCGCCA